AAAATAACACCCCTGCCCCCTCACTGAAAAAAGTGCTTATTTCCCCTTCAAAAGGACACGCTTACTCGCCTTAGATTTACTGCTTTCTTTTTTCATTTTCTTTCTCATTTTAAAATGGATTTCTTCCTTTTTTTTACTATATGTTATCTTAAAGATATATTTTATTACTTGGAAATTGTTTTATTTCATTACAACACCCAAATTCTAAGCTAGGCTGTGCAGGTCGATAGAAATCTTTATTGACCTGTAGGAGGTGAGGTATTCCTTTTACATTAGGAGTCCACTGATGATAAGAAAATAACTCCTTTCTGCTTCTGAAATTCCCCTCATTTACGATTAGGCTGACAAGCTCCGAAAACCATGCACGCACACACAAATATATTTACACAGTTGCTAGACAAATCTCTGATGAAAGGGATGCAATGTTTTCAAACTGTTAATTCAGTCCAGAAAACACTTGGTAGGTGTTACTAATTCTTGTGGTTTCCCAGTCACTTTAGGAAGACGGATGCTTGTAACGGGCATAGCCATCCAGCACCATCCCCATCCAGCAGAAATGGAATATTCCAAAACAGGCATCTTCATCATAGGAGGAAGCAGTGTTTCTTTGTACCCATCTAGACCTCTCATTTCCCACCTGGAAGCTGAAAACTGGGATGATAAACCTGTAACTTCAGAAAAATCATTGCCACACAGCATCAAGAAAACTGAGACTAAACTATGCAAGGCATTTGCTATACCACTGTACAGCAATTGCCTTCTCTAAAACACAGGTGAGGCTGCTCTCTGCATTAGTCAATCTGCTCAATCACTCTTCTATTTCAACCAAAGCATCAGTAATAATGTACTTTGGATGACTACTATCAGCAAACCAATTTGCTACGGAAGAGTAAAATAATTTCAGAAATTAATACAATGAGGAAGAATCAACGTAGCTCAGTCATCCAGATCGCAAATCAGCACGACGCTTAACTACGAGTTTATATTGAAGTATATGAGCAATCACATTTAGTTCAGTGAGATTACTCGCACCGTTTAAAGGTCAGACTTGCTAAAACGCTTTACTGAACTGAAGCTTCAATCAATTACGCTATAAAAACTAGCCAGGACTACCCGGCCAGTACAAACAATGTGCCATCTGAACTAGCATGTCATTTCTTGCAGGCTTGCCTGCTTCTGCCAGCACACAAGCACAGGATCCCTGCCAGGCTCCTTGGGACAAGGCAATTCACACAACTGCCAAAATCAGAATCTACCACATTCAAATGAGGCTGTGTGCGCAAAACCTTACGTTTCCACCTGGCAATGGAAATACAGCTGGAGTGATGGACAAGAACTCAGTGGGGATTGTAAGCACACACGACACCAGGTTCTTCACTGGGGCAGTGTTGAATGACAGTCTTTATTTAGACCATGTACAAAGTGTATTTATTTTTAATCAACTTTCCTTTTGCTAGATGCACATTTCATTAAGAAAAGATTGTTAAAAAAGTCTTCTGTACCATGAAAATCTAACAAAGCAAAAGAAAGATTGGGTTTTTTCCTGGAAAAAAAAATATAATGCCAATTCTGAAAGTAAGTCTCAGCACTGAAAATAAATTATTAATTTAATAGCATTTCAAAGCTTCAGATCACAAAAATATGAATGCAAGACATATAAACAATTAGGATATCTAACTTAGAGCCTCCTTCCCTAGAGATTAAAGTAAAAAATTATTTTACTAGAACTGATGGCTTATTTATGTTACAGCAGCAGTATTTGGACAAGGCAAGCGTTATCGTTCTTACAACTACTTTTCCATAGTGCCCTTTAGGCTTGATAGCTCCCTACTATTGTTAAGGTCAGAGGACAAGTTCATAAAACCTCTAAATCATACATAACAAGATTTAAAAACCTAAGATATATCATTTTTTTTCCCTAGGCCTATGCAGAAGAATCAGAGCACAGACAATGACCATCAGAAATGACGACCGCATTAAACAAGGCTTCATGAGAAATTTATGAAGCAAATTTTTTTTTTTTTCCCTGACAGTATATGAAGAGCCAAAAGACCTTTTTTTCCAGGAAACAAAAACAAACCCCAATGGTCAACAGATTATTTTAAGAACTGACTCTAAGATCTTAAGTAATATACGTTCTTTTTTCCATTCTCCTCTTCCACCCCCCCCCTTTTATTTTAATTTTGCAGGAAAAGGCCTCTAACGTTATATGAACAAATGCCCTTTCAATGTAATCTCACTTGGCTAAGTACTTCTGAACTAGTTCTCAGGAACAACCACAGCTCAAACTACATACTGGTTTTTTGTTTGATTCATTTGTTTGTTTTCAAGTAAAACATTTTATTTTCCTATCAGGTAAGTAAAGAAAATAACTTGACTACTCATTTGTCATTAATAACTTACTAACTTACCTGCAATAAACATCATGGGGGGGGAGGAAATTTTTTTCTTTTTTAAATTCAATAAATGTGAACGTTAGGGAAAAAGTGTTACAAAATAGTTACTGAATAATGAAGTCTGTAGGAGTCCTGCATAAACACTGATTCCAGGACCAAACACTTACAAATGAAATGATTGGTAGAAACAAACAAAAAAGACATGGATATCTTTCTCTGTCATAAAGACAGTACAACACACCAATTTAAAGTTTTTGTAATAGTGGTATGGATTTTTCAACAAATGATTTTGCCTGACACGCTGTACTGTATGTTATTAGTAAAACAGTACATATGCCTCACAAAACAAGTGTCATGCTTGATTACATTTTTGTTTTGAAATTTATGTAAAATTATAAGCTTTTATACTTAATATCCAACTTCACTCATCGTTTTTTTTCAAACTGGAATTCAACAATTCACCGTATTTCTAGACAATCACATTTTCCAGCCACATTATATATTAATAAATATAATCAGACTACATATATATTTCAACTGATCAGCATAGATCAATGTCAATTATGAACAAGCGTTAGAGAGACAAAACGTGACACTTGACACTTGATGTTGTCAAAACGTCACATAAATATGTTCTAAGGACAATATATATTTTGGCTTAATTTCAGTCCCAAATAGGACCTTATCACAGCTGCGCATGTCTGTAAAAGTTTTTGACCTAGCAAAAATCTCATATTTTTCATTTTCAAAAGCATAAAATAGATGTTCCTGAGATTTTCATGAAAATGAATGCACATTCTGTTTCTGTGTAAACTGTATTACCTGCCCTTCTGCAACTGTCTCTGTATCAATTATAGTGATGATTCCAGGCACCAGAGGACTTCGACGAATGTTGCTATGAGCTAAAATTTCTTCTTCAGTTGCTCCTGAAGGCAGCGTCCCTGTCAGCTGCGTAACTACTTTCCCAACCATTGTAAGTCCAGTCTTTATCGTCTATAAAAAGAAAGAGAACCAATAAGTAATGTTTAAGGCTGTTTTGTGGATCTATCTTGGATTTTTTCCTCAACACAATTAATATAACTAGATTGTGTGCACCAGAAGCACACAAACCAAATGTTTTTATAAGTGATATATCAGCTGCAAAAGGCTGTATGTAAGAGAAATATCTTGAAAAAATAAAGCATCCTACTAGTTTGAAGTATTCACCTTTGTTTTGGAATTAAATGCTTCCAAAACATTCTTGAAAAAAGAAATATTTTAATGTTGTCTAAATGTTACAGTTTTTTCTTTCTTTAACTTTGTTATTGACTTATTCCAAGAGATACAGAGCACGGACAGTTAGAAGAATCAAATGATGAAGCCAAGATGGGTGCGTGAGGAAGACAGTGTTACATAGAGAAATACTTACAGCCCCTAATGGTTAATGCTGAAATAGTTATGTCTTCTGCACAAGTGCAAGAGACAAGGAATTTGGCCTTTGGTAGATATGACAGACACATTCGTTTCTCAGCAATTATGCCTTTTGCAGCATTAAAACTGAATAAGGAACTCAAACCAAGCAAAACTAAAACCGCCATGCTCAAGGTACTAGAAGGGATAACTCTGTAAAAAGTACACGCATTTCCCATTAAAAATAACGTGACTTTCCATAGTCTGCATGTTTTTCAGACATGGGTTTGAAAAAATATTCATTGCACCAGCTTTTATTATCTAAAGATGCTGAAGATTGTTTTTATGTTATTTTATTTGGAGAAAGTGGGAGAGTACACACAGTAGGAGAGATATAGGTTTAAAAAAAAAACAAACCCACAATCCAAACTACAACTTTAAATACTTTCTCCTTGAGTCAAGGACTGTGCTTTATTTGCCTATAAAGAATTGAGCAGATTTATTATGCAATATAAATAAGAAATAGCAAAAGAGATCAGAATGGAATGACACTATAACAAGCCAATTCTTAACTAAAAAGACAAGCTAAGCTGCCTGCTAAATTGAAAAGGAAAAAAACCATACAGATCACAGGCTGAAACCAAGAAGCAGCCACAAATCAATTGCAACTGCTTTGTTTAGTGCTAAAATCTCAAACTGCAGTGATTAGAAAACACATTAGTGTTCATCAATTAGCAGCCAAACGTTTGTTTTAATAATTCATAGGAAATGACTTACACAAAGTCTGTTAGTGTGTTGTCAGGAAAACCTCTGAAGGGCCAACAGAATTAGGCGCCACACTGTATTGATGGCAATATCTAGCCAGGAAGCCTGATTAACCTCTGAGATGCCTCAGCTGATGTACTTACCCCATTAATGCTAATGGAGATACTACCACTTAAAATCGAGCCATGCCTTTATCATAGGAATGTCTTTGGGGTTTAAAGTCTTTAGTAATATCCTGCCATTTGTTTCTTATTATTTCTTTTTATACTCAGATACAACAAATGAGGATAAAACAAATTTTACCAGTGGCAAATTCCGAAGACTGAAAAACGTAACATAAAGCAGATAATGATATCTGAGGAATAGGCCTAAAATAGACCCAATGCCATCACAAGAATGCATTTCAACACACGCTTTCCTTACAAAAACTGACAAGGCAGTTTTCTGGCCAATAATTAAAATCGTATAAAAATGCACTGGTAGTTTATACAGCAGAAAAGAGAAATCAGTATAGAAGTACTATATGGCAAAATACCTATGCAAGTTAGAAGACCAAGAATTGTAATTAACCTACTTTAGAAAATATTTTTAAAATTATAACTAGTGAAATTGGATGACAAAGTACCAAGTATAAATTTATAGCTCTCTAAAAAAAATTAACATGCTTATCTAGCAAAATGAATTACTGTTACATGTTAGAGTAGACTGTGACTGCAGGACTACTGAGAAGTAATAGGTGTACAAAGATGTGGCCAAGGCCATTAGCTTAGAAATATCAGTGCAAAACCATTACGGCGCTTACTTCTTTGTGCTATGTGTATATTTGCAAAAACTTCTCTGGTAATCTTTAACCTTTCCCATGCCATATCAGCTGTCCCCTCCATCCATTAGAGCTAATGACCTTGCTCTCACATAAGCTGTTAGTACTCATTAAGAAGTTATCAGGTAACAAGAGAAAACAGATGCAGCCTTTGCTAAATCACTTTACTACTATTAAAAGATATTAAAAGGATTAAAAGATATGGAGAAAGAATCAACTAAAGAAGTTATGAGGTGAGAAGAACTTGGTTTATAATTTGATGCTAGACATTTGACAGACCAAATACATTTTAAATGAAATAGGTTAAAGTTTGCACTGTCCCAGTTCCTTTCTCATTGATGGGAACCTGCATACTCAGTGAAATTTTCTTATAAATAAAATTAAAATACTTGATCCAGTTCCTTTTGTAAGCAATGATGCACATTGTGCAAACACAGAAATTACTTGCTCACATGTACATGCTCACATGTACCCTATCTACTTAAAAATAAGACTGTTCACATTCATTCAAATATAAAGAAACACATATATTTAATTAAAATAAATGTATGCACTCATACCTCATTTAATTGAAAAATAAGTACAACTTTAATTAGATGACAAAATTAAAATGCATCATTCAGTGCCTGTTAGGCTGTTTTGTTCCAACAAAGGTCTTACATCCTTTTAGTGACAAAACAATATATTGTTCCTGTTTCTCATAATAAATACATTTTACATTACTTATTTGTTTACAAATGAAAAATCTATAGAAAGCAGAAAGAGATATTAAAAAGATATGTCTTGGTAATCAACAATATGAAAGCCTCACAGTTAGTTTCAACAAAATGAACATACAATCAATTATAGATTCAAGTTCAAACTAAATGTTTGTTGAAACGCTCATGTTTCGCAAAGATGTTTCCTTTTCCTGCTCTTGCCCATATTCTGAAAAGAGGTAGGACAGGAAAGAAAACCTGTTAGCAAATCCATCTTAAACAGCATGGCAAGTTTAACCGCTAGGAATACATTATGATGGAGAAGGTCTGCATGAGCACCACTTGAACAGAGTGAGTTGAAATACGACTCACCCAGGGACATGCTGGGACCAAACCTCTCTTCAACAAGACGTACAAAAAAACCAAGCATGGAGACATAAGAATGTCTTTTCCTATGTCCCCTTCCTTGCTGCATCCAAAATGGATAAATATGGATAATTATAACAAGCAACCTCACATTTGGATGCTTATCTTAAACCAAGCACCTGAATATTGTCCCATCACTAATACTGTTAAGTAATAATGGGGTTTATTTTGAAAGATATTCTATGTCTACTGTGTTTGTTCCACTGGAGTGAAAAGATTCTTTATCCCATAAGGAACAACATTTTCATTTTTCCAAAGGCATCATTTTTTACCTTTGCTAAACATTAACCTAAATTGAAATCTTGACACATTTTCTATTTCCAGAAATTTTCTGCTTGGCCAAATTACAGAAATTATCAAAGCTTTTTAGAACATTAACAGACAGAAAGCCACCAAAGAAATGTGGGGAAATGAAAATAAGAGACTGAGCTAGGAAAAAAATGCACGTGTGTTTTCCAGCAACAGCAGAAAGCATGCTCTTGCAAGATGCATCTAAAGAGAAACAGGAGAAAGTTCAGTGTTCAAAATAAAATCCTTCTAGGAATTATAAATCAAATGGGAAGATGATGTAAAGGAATTCTTCATAACGTTACCAGAATAACGACAGTTTTGGCACCAGTAAACAACACACTCCAACATGACCACAATTTTGACCCTGGTATTCTCGGTTAACAGGGGAGCTTCTGACTCCTACATTATTTGACTAAGGAGGAAATTTATTTGCTGCATCAAATATAGTACACAGCAGTACATCACATGGAGGACAAACCCATCGTTCATTACCAGGACATTCAAAAACATTTCTCATCAAAGGGAATACCATTAAAGTAAATATTCTGTACTGCCACTGAGACCTTCTACAGATGATCTGAAAGGTAATTCTCAAAAGTGACCCTGCTGAAATTACTCTTTGCTCTCAGCTTTATCTTTCTGTTTTATATGAAGGTTCTTTCACTTCCTTCAGTAAGAAATTGGAACCCAAACAGAGAAAAGGCTGTAACCCAAGATAATCTGACAGAACAAGAACTTTTATGGAACCTCTTCTGAACCAAAAATGTAGGGAACAGAAAAGGACATCCACTTTCAAAAAAGCTAATACCTCTGCTGATCAAAGCAAATGAATTACAAACCATTGCAGGCTGATAAGATATAACAGCAGTAGAGTTTTATAAACGAAGACTGACTTAAGTCAAGTTTGTGGTGAGGTAATGAGATGGACAAAGAGCAACAGATATTTGGAGTATATATTTGCCAATAAGAAAGTCAGCATTTCAGTTACCAGAGGTGAAAACTTGCTAGATAGTAAGCAAGATTCAATGAAATCAGTAATAAGTCAAACATTTCAGATTTAGTGTTGCTCTCTCGGACATGAATAACAAATTAATACAGTAAGGCTGAGATATACTCAAGAGCCAAATCATGCAAATATTTAAAAGTATATTAGTATTAATCTTGTCTGTTACAGTAACATCTAACAGCCAGGCGAGAGCAAAAGCAACGTGCTAGACAAAATACAAAGTAGTATGGAGCTTGTGCCCTTACGATCATCCGTTTTCCTAACTTTCACGATTACTTTATCTCTGTACAGACGCTAACAATCTTTTTCTTCCCTATGATTACAAACACATTTTATCTTCAGTAGCTATTCACATGATGCAACATCACTACTTCAGTGTTTACACAGGTTCAGCTTTATGTGGGAGTTTCTGGATTGTGATCCTTGGCTAGCACTACTCAGGAGGTAAGGTTATCATCTTGGTCCTTACTGGCTTTAAAACTTAGTTATCCACGATCTTTGGGGGTAAGGGCTACAACAGATGTCCTCCTTTTTTAGATTTTTTTTTTTTAGTCTGTCAAAAAAAGATTAGACAGAATAGTGCTTAGTCTTCGATGCCTACTGGAATGCTTTGACAATCATTATACGGTTTAAGAAAGCTTTGGCCTGTTCTTCTTCAGTCATGACTAGGCTTGGCTTTGGCAGTACAGTGATCCGTTTGTAAGATTTTACCACATCTGATCATAACTGTGGCTGATCATGCTAAGCCAGTTGGTTTTTCAAACTTATCTGTGCTATAAAAAACATGGTAATGACACTGAGATTGAAGGAGCATGGGGAGATTTCCCCCCTCCCCTTTTTTTTTTTTTTGCCGATGGTGAAAGTATGCAGAGATACAGCAAATTTCAGATGTCTTAAGAACAGCAATTCAAGTTCTCCTCAACAATGTAAAAAACTGTGATTTTTCTCCTCCTCCAGCCACAGTGAGATTGTGTCCAAAACTATGCTGATGGAATGTGTTTGTTTTTATGTTTTCTTTTTACATGAGATGGCATGCCCTATGTCTCTCTTTGTGGGTTCTTGTAACTGTTGTTTTCTTCAGTGACGCTGAGCTTTCTGTTCTGTGCTGTCATTTAATTCCTATTATTAGATTTGTTTTGTTGCGCATATCAGAAATGAAAAGGCTAGTGGTTACAATGAAAGCTTGTAATCAGCACGAAGTTTGCCAGACAATGCCAAAACACACTTTGTGTGTCTGTGTGTGTGTGTGTGTAAAAAAAATTATTTGGCAAAATGTTGCAGGCAAGTCCTCAAGGAAAGGAGCAGGATTGGGGATGGAAATAGTAAAACAACAGTTCTGCATACTCTTTGGCTTGTTTAAGATTTTTCCGAGCCATGGTCTTCTTTTGATACTATGAAAACCCAGACATTTCTCTGAAAACAGAGGAATATTATAATGTCATCTGAACTAGAAAACTAGGCAATAGAACCTATATGTAAACAGTCATTAACAAATTCTAACCTTCAAAGAAAGCTGCCAGGTAATTAATGAGCTCCAGTACTGTGCTGTCATCCTTCAGAGAGATTAAAAAAATATAATGCTAGTGTGATTGAGTCCAAAAAGCACCAAGCACTTGTAAAGTCAGTTTTCATGATGCTAAAAGACTAAGAATTCACAATGTTGCTTTCTAATCATGTAAACTTGTAATATTATGAATAGCCATTATAGAAATGCATTTCACTATGATTTTCCTACAGCTGGGTCACTAATATGAATAGCTGTTTATAATAAATAAAATTTGAAAAAAATCAGTTCAGAAGGACAGAAATACTTTATGAAAAACAATGGCTACTCAGAGATTTTCAGGATTTGGACCATATGCATGGTGCTAATGCTAGCATGTTTCTTACTGTGTTTTCCTCTTTTGTGAATGGGGGGGGTGATGACACACAGTACAATTCAGCAGGGAAACCTAATAATTATCTTGCATGATAACCTCTCCCAGCAGCAGATGATGTACTCACTTTGGCAGCACTAATGACTGTGGCAGTGTAAGACTGAATGTTGTCTCCACAGGCTCCACCACGGGATTGATGGCATCGGATCAGCTACAAGAAGACAGACAGCAACCAAGTAACTACTATTAAACTACACAAACCCATAACCCATTACCATAGCTCTTATTTATCATGTACAGTGGTGTGTTTTTTCCTACAAATAGCAAAAAGCCCTGCTGAGACACTTAACCCCTTTTTATAATCTTCTGGGTGCCACCCAGACTGTCGCATACTCAACTCCAGTTTTCAATTACAAGATGAGTAGTCACTAAGAATTCATAAACTTTGAAATGGTGGGATTTTTGGTCTGGCAGCAATACCACAAATAAATTTAAATAAATATAATCAAAAGCTTTAGCCATGTATATGTAACATTAAATATCAGACATTCTAAGAATCTGAGTGTGGCTTTCCCCTCCTTTTTATGACTAGCAAGCAAAGAAATGACAAAGGAAAAGCGCTACTTTAAACTTTACGTTTAATAGATTAAAGGAATGTACATGGGGTTTACTCTATATTGCCTTCCTTCAAAATTAATAAATCAAAACAAGACTCTTCTACCTGCGATTGACCTACAAAAGGAGTTTTTGCCTTTGAACCCTAACTAACAATAGAATCTGTGCTTCTGACTAAATAAAATGGCAAAAAAACTATAGATATTTATTGCTTGTACACAGAACATGTTGCCCGTTTAACTGTTCTAGGTAAAAGAAAATTAAAAAACACTGTAAGATATATTTGTTTCTACAGGCTTTCCTTTCCTGCTTATATTTAAGTATCTAAATAAAAATAGTTAAACTAGGGAGAAAGGGGAAGTCCACAGTGAATATACCTGGGAACACTCAAGCCATTTAAATTCCTTTTGTGATATAATTCTTTTGCTGATCAGTGGCTTATATTTTTGGCAGCAGTACTTTTTAAATCCCAGGCTGATTGGTTAAGTTTTACAAAACCACATAGGCGTGGCATTAAAGAAAAGGCAGGCCTGAATTTGGAAAGAAATCAGTTGTGCTTGAAAAGGTGTAACAACAAATACATTTCTAAAGTCTGCCTCTGATAATTTCTGGTTTGGCTCTAGAAAGAGCTATTCCAGTCACAGGTGGAAGGGAGAAAAAACCATATGCTTTGAAATAAAAATAAGGCATTAGAAGCTGAATTTAAAGTTTTCAAACACTTCAAGCTTTAAATACACAATCATTTCTCTGGCCTAGGGCTGGGCGAAGAGTAATTTTTTTTTGCTTGGGATTTATTATCTTCTTTTTCCTCTAGAAATAAGAAAAATTATTTCAACATTTTCATTTTTTTCCTGGAGCCTAACATTTTCAGCAAAGATGTTAAAAAGTGGGCATTTTAAAGCTATTTCCTAATGTACAAAGTGCATTGCTGTGTTGTTTCAGACAAACCCACTGGCTCTGTCCAGACTCAGTTTCCCCAAATAGAATTTAGGAATCCTCACCTGCCTACCTTCAGAAGTGTCTATAATTAAGTGCTTTAAACTTTTATAATGCAAAATGGGTTGATTGAGTGACCTCACTGAAAACACATGTTGATAGCTGTCTTCTCTGCCTACGCTACTTACTTAACATATTTATGCCTTCCAAGTTCATGAGCTTAAATCAAATGTGCAGAGTAAAGATATGACATACATGAATACCAAAGCACAACCAGTGTGGGTCAAAGATTAGGTTTGTCATCATTATGCAAGTCCTCTTACAGATCATCTTTTTCAAATACCTTTTTTCTGAGACTTTTTCTTTCCTTTTTTCCCCTCTATATATACAAAACCTAGAATGAAATCTAGAAGCAGAGAAGTATTTTTTGAAATTAAACCTTTCCTTACCTTATTTTCTGCATAAGCAAGCCAACGGCTTCCAAGAGCAATAGGATTCATGTTTGGCCCTGGACAAGGATAGCAGCCTGAAAAGTTTGAAAAGGCAACATTAAGAAATATCTTAATGACTTCTTACAAAGAATTTTATTTATTGCCAAGAAAACAAAAAGTCTAAACAAAAACCTTTCAATTGCTAATATCACTCAGTAAATGCTTGCATTTTTGTTCCTAAAGATAAGACTGTGGTTAGATGAGCTATTTTGAACAGTTAATTATGTGTAAATACTCATTTCTCCTTATGTTTGCATTTTTTTAATGCCATTTTGATACAGTGGGGTGAGGGAGATGTTTAAAAGTTTGACTGGATTAGTTCTGTATCTTCACATTTTAATTAATTTTACTTGATTGATGTCTTTCTTTTGGTCAACGGTTACAGTTAGCTTCAATCTCTTCAACATTTTTGTAGTACGAAAGGGTGTATTGTGCTTTTGTTTTTGTTTTTAATAATTCTATATACAAGCCCTTAGCCTTCAAAATACTTTTGCACACACTTAACTTTACACAGTGAGTGAATTCATAATTCCTTTAAAATCAATGGCACATTTTCCACTGTTCACCTGCTTTTCATTACCTTTATATTATCATTTAAAATAGATATACACACACGCATAAAGATGAACATAAAATAGAGGAGTATTCCTGAGAATTAAAAGGTGAAAATACCTATAATAGAAAGCCACTGAAAATAGCTGTGAATGAAAATATGGCAAGGCTTAAAATGAATCAGGCCCATGTTAAATGCAATTTAATATATAAAGTCTGAGTTAAAAACAAACAAACAAAAAAACCCAGACCAAAAAAAATTCCCCCCAAAACAACAACCAAGAATATCACACTATTAACTATTAAAATTAAAAATACAGAATTTTAAATTATTGAAAACAGTTAGATAATGCTTAAACATAAATGAAAAGCTTAAGTAATCAACAATTAAAAGTAGCATGGTGTCCCTCATCCTAATTGCTATTACTGTCCTATTTCCATGTCCTGTTTCCCCTTCTTTGTTTTTCGTCATTTTAAATTAAGCTCTTCCAGGTGGACAGCTGCTCTTTCTACATCAACACGTAACCCTTGCCTGCATTCAGCGCCCAAATCCTACTGATGTATCTGAACTTCAGTATTCTAGCCCTGACACTGTAAACGTCCGTGCTGCGTGGTTCCAGCAGGCTGATTTCAGTGGGATCCTTTGTCAAGGTAAGAGTCTGGAAGTTCAGATACTGAAGTAATTCGGGTGAAGCCACAAAACTGTTTACTGATTAGGGCCTTGATAACAGGATTTGAGCTTGAGTGTTCAAATTTAAGCTAGTAAACTAAGGCCTTCAGCCACGTGCATAACACCATTTGCCAGACCTAAATCCGTTCTGGTACACTAAAACATATATATAAAAAAGAAATATTGCATAAGGGGGGGGAGAATGGGAGGAAGGAGGGGACTATCAAGCGAATGGTTAATCTCTGTTTTCATCAGTTCTTAGGCTAATATAGACAATTTAGTAATTCATATTCTCTCACTGGTTGGCCAAGAAACAAAACATTTAAAAACTTACAGACGTGTTTCTCATTGAAAGGAGCCCTGGTTAGCTGATCCTGTATCACAGGCGTAAGGAGCACTGAGATCAGGCAAACAGCATTTTAGAAGAACACATATAACCAACAACTGCAATTTATTGCATAAAATCCTACACTGCATTCTGAGAAGCAACATTTAAAAAAAAAAAAAAAATGCAGCTAGCTAAGCTTCTATTTCCCCAAAGTCTCTTGTTTCAGACTCTCAGATACTGATCTGCCAACCACAGTGAGAAAAAGCAAACCTATTCGCTGCCTTCTTTTTGCAAATATCAGGGTCTTTTCGAACAGGCCCCCAAATTGTCCAGAACATTTAGTGAGGACAACGGACTTTTAAAAATTTAATGGCATTATTTTCAAGGCTTGCAAAATGGTAAAAAAGGTGCTTGGGAGGGTGTTAACTATAGCACGTAGGTGTAAGCTTAAACTGACATTTGATAACACTTAAAGACACATTTGATGGCATTTTGTTGGGCACATGCAGAAACAGCTGCTATACTGTTCATGCCGTCTAAGATAAACAGCTCCTTATTTCATTTTTTTAGAGAAGAGCAGTGAGAGTATTGCAAAATTTGAAAGATCATAGCAAGCTATTTCAAAGGTCATAAAGCAATGGAAGGAGATAAGCAGCAATTCATCCAATTAAATCCATCTCAGGCCAGGAAAGCAAAACCAAGTGAATACTTTGTAAGACCTTATCACTGTCTTGATCTCAGGAAGGAAAACGAATTCTGAAGAGATGATGCCACAATTGTTATTGCATTCCAAAAGTGCATAAAGTGTGGGTAGCCAGAGCCTCTTAAGGAACAAAGCAAGCAAAAAAAGGTTGTAAATACAACCCTAGGTTGTAAATACAAATGTGTTCTTCCGATGACATTATAGATCAGGACCAGTAAGGTTTTAATGCTGACTTCTGCTTCGGCAATTCTTACCTGGGTCAGTAAAGACATTCGGGTCCCCCAAACTTTATTTATTTTTCTTCCCTTTTATGTATATAATATACCATTAAAAGCTATCAGATGATAGCCCCTCATCCTATAAATCTCTACAGTGATTTAGAATCAGTCACGTGCATTTCCCAAACTCTGCAAGCAACTCGTAACATCCTTGCAGCAGAAAACCAAAGGAGTATCAGCCAACAGACGCACTGCAATGACAAAACCCAAGCAATTCAACAACTTGTAACAAAAAGAAACGTCTTGCTTGGAAAAGGGAGCTGTTCTCAATTACTTCAGTTCACTGAAGTAAACGAAGAACCGCAAAAAGTATTATTCTTCAAATAAAAAATTAATCAAATAAGAAGTGTAAAGTTATCTTAGAAAAAACTGCAAATGTCTTCAGCAAACCCACTGTACGTAGTTTGTTCCATGAACTGGACTCAGTCAATCAAACACAGCCGCGCTCACAAATCAGCCAACGCTAATAATAACCTCCACAGAGGTCAACAATTCAACTCGGTACTAAACTCTACTCTCAGATATGAAAAAAGCGTAAAAAAAGAGCTATTTCCTCCCTTTCTTTTCTTTGCAAGTCTCTGCATTTTGGAAACTTGCAGCAGTACAAGGATAAACAAAGGGTTATACTTTATGGGAAGGAAAAGCAAATTGTTTTTCTACTTTCCAAAAAAACAGCTGGAGTCAGCAGAACATCATCTACTAGGCAAATGAAAAGACAGACACAGCGTGACCTATCAAGCTCGGCCATCCAATCGTTACCAGCCCAACTCTCTTAAAGATTAACTTCTATTTCTACTAAACTTCAAAACAACTGAGGAAAAATCCATTCTAAGCAATAACAGCAGCAATTTTAGCATGTTTACAATAGGAATGAACATAATGAGAATGCAGAACTAACTGTCAAGACGACCAAAGTTTCCAAGTTTTAATGACAGTATGGAGAGGTCATCCAAGAAAAGATCACTCGGGGAAAGTCCTTCCAGAAGTACAGCAAATCAAGCAAGTACTAAAAAACATCTGATCTTAGAATAAGCTTTGCTGGGACTACCATCCACAAAAATATAGGTGAAAATCTACTGGAAACTATTTAAAATGTTTTTAAGTACACAGTTACTCTCTCCCTCTGTGCTTTATAATGACACACAGAGGAAATGCACTACTTTAAAGCTCTGGAAAGACAAAAGTAGAAAAATACTATTTTGAAAGTCTGAACTGAAGTGCAAGTTTTTCTGCTAACTTGATTAAGCTCCTACGCCCAAGAGCTCCAACCGGTGCTGGCCTAAGCAACACTGATGAATAAGAAACGGGCTCCAGGCTCCCTCTGAACAGGGACTTGGCTAACAGCTGAGGATTTCACGGGCAACACCCTGGTACCTCATATTCTGTGCCTTGGTATTCCTGTTTCCAAGATGCAAGTTTTACCTACATTGAAATGGTACCATAGGTAAATTCTTTAGCATTACAATTTCTTAGTTTCTTCCTGTCTTTTTTTTTTTTAGTAACGGAGTTATAAAATTATAATCTGAGATAAGCATGTAGTTTGTGATTATTTGGATTCAAAGACCGTTTTAGCTTTCTTGCTGCTGTGCTGACTTTATCTATTTGGTTTTACTGAGAACACAGGAATCCTAGAAGTTACTTAAAGTTCTCCAAAGAGCTATACAAATGTTTGCTTAATGAGTGAGCAGAGAGAAGGCATGTTTATTTTACATTATTTTTCAATTACTTTTATGAAATCTCTACCACCCTTTGGAGATTCATATCCATATGCCCATAATAAACAAAATCACCTCCTCTACTCATTCTGAAAACTCACACAAATACGCACTTCTCTGACTGTGGATCTTTCCATTGATCTATGCTCCTACAGAAAACTAAGGCTCCAGTCCTCTTCTTAAATTATTTTTAAAAAGCTCATCCTCTAGCTTCAGTAATGGCAGTGTGAATACACAGACAGCAGCCAAGAAGAGAAAAGCAACACATTCCTCTCCTCCCACTTAGCCTTTAAACAAACAGCGCATTGGGAAAACACTGTTTAAGAGGAACAGGGCCATTAAAAGTCATGTCAGCTATAACAGAGATTAAGCCAATAAATCACAAAACATGCCGCTATGAAGACTTGAACCATTTGTATTGGGGCAGCTCTTCATCAAGCTCCGCAGCTTTTTCATGAGAAAAACACTTAAAAAAAGATATATATACATATATGAGCATATACATAAACCCAAAAGCGCAGTATGGGATGGAGAGTTGGGGGCTAAACACTGCAGGGATTCCTAATATCCATAAAAACTTGGCAGTTCAGTACTTCACATGCAAGCATACAATCTTTGGAATCCCAGATGCAATTAAAAGTCTACAGACATCCCAACTTTCAAAAGCTCAGTTCTTCAGGAGGACCAGAGCTGTGCATCTCTGTTACCCATGATACTGCTACAAGTCCAATCAATATCTTCGGATGTGTTCTATATATGTGCTCTTCTCATTCATGAAGTACAGATGAT